TACGATAGGCAAAACAAAAATAAAACAAAATGCAAGAGTACAATGAAAGTGTACTTAGCGCAGGTCCTCCTCGTGTCCTATTGTGTTGTGGAAGCAGCGGAAAAAGTGCGTCTCACACGCACCGTCCATAAACAATGGCTGGCAGATGCCTGGTAGAGAAGGGCTTGCCCTGGGAACGAATCACCACCCCTAGCATGTTCTTCCTGCTCCCACAGCAGCCTCACCGCAGGCTGAGCTCTGCATGGCAACCCCCGCCACGATGGTGACACCCTGCATTGTAGCTCCCTGCATCCGTTTCCCCCCCCACTTACTGCTCTGCTGGCACCACAGGTGAGGAGATACTCCAAGCCTGGCACAAAAAAAAGAAACTTGCCATAAAGAATCCAAATTTAATTTGCCTTTAACAAGAAAATCAACACACTGGGTTTTAAAGGCGTCACGCAGAATCCTATTGGGACGCAGACCTTCATCAAGTTTCACATCCTTAACTGACATATTTAACCTAAACAACCAAAACAACTAAAAATCTTGTTTTTAAATGAAATGTTTCTGCTTTACAACTAAATTACGAGAACTCCACTTCAGACAGGATTTGAAAATCCAAGTTAATGTGCAATAACAATTTAAGTTATTTTGCAGTGCTCTGAGTTTAAATATTCTCCTTTAATTCGACATTGTTCCATTAAATGCTTTCCAAACGTGAAACTGAATGCATAAAATATACTTTAATGGACATTTACACCTGCAGTTGGAACAAGCCAGAGCTGAAATGCATTAAAATTTACAGTTAAGAGCTCAGCTCCAAAACGTGAGACGAGATGTTTGGAATGTTCGAAATCTTTGAAAGCAGCATGGGACTATACTTTGACACTATGATCTAAATTTTTAAAAAAGTAATGTTTTTTCTCTATGTAAATCCAGCTCTGGCCTCATATCAGTGAATTCTGTATGTTGTCATCAGGCCTGCTGTCAGGAAAAGTCTTTTGTTCTGGCTATGCTAATAATAACAATAAATGTTTGTGTAAAGCTGTTGAAGAATCTAGCTGGTGATCATATACATTTCCCATTTTTTCATACAAAATCTTTCGCATGACGTGTATTTGATCCTATCATTAAATAAATTAAATGTGATGACAACATTTTTTTCAGCCTCAGTGATGAAAAGACCAGAAAAATTACATAATGAAAACAGCTGTATCTTTGCAGTAACTATCTTTAAAAGTAACCATAAAGTTTTAACCAGGTTTAAGCCAGTGGAATGCTGTTACTTGTGTATGGTTACATCTCATTGGTCATGTTATTAAAAAGCAATGAAAATAAAATCTGTGGAATGCAATATTGGATTATACTGTTGCCTGAACATATGAATTATATTAACATTTATAATGGGCCACACTACTACCAATAAAATTTTATCTTTCTGGGATAAGAAACATTATTACGTTTTTAGTTAATTAGTAGATAATATAATACAAATTTAATATAATACAGATTTAATATAATACAAAATTACTTTTTGGATTTTCTGTTTACATTTTACAGCTAGGAATTTTATTAAAGGATTTACGCTTAGTTACACTGCTAATTGTGGCTATTTAGGGGGCATAAACTTCAGTGTTGAGGTCAGTCTGAATGTTTCAGTCAATGAATCAAGGTATCTACCTAAACACTTTACAAAGATGATAGAAAATGATGCAGGAAGAAATCTATCTACTGTGGCATTACTTTAATTAAAATTGCTAGCTGGAACCCTTTAATATGTTGAGTAATGTCCAAAGAAAAATAAAAAATGTTTTGAATCAAGCACAATTTCTGTTCAAGGACACTGCTGAATGGCAAATTCATGAATAAAGCTGATCTCCACATCTTTGGTGTTTGAAACAGTGGAAGATATAGTACGCAGTACTTACTGTAAGGGAACATTTTCTTTCACACAGTAATTAAACAGAATCATGTGTGCATAGATGTTAAAAGATATGCAGGCAAGATATGAAATTGCTAAGATATTTCAATGAATCAATAACCTTTGTGATTAATTATGCTTTTATATCCATTTAAAAATTATCATTAATGTTCCTATTTTTTCCAGGTAAAAAAAGTAAAGTCACCTCTATAAGTCAACATACTTGCCATGAATGAAAGCGTAAAAGTGATCCAAAACAACATTTTATGTATCTGGGAATAGATGGCAAGGTCACGAGTCAGAAACAAATCAAGCAATTTCACATTTATTCAAATTCCTATTTATAATATTATTTTTTGTGTAATTTATAACTAACTGCACCTTCAATGACAGACCCAAGCAGCATGTAAACTGCAAGAAAATGGCACATTAGACAGATAGCCGGTTTCATCAGTGACCTATCCTTCTTTAATAACTTGGTCCTTTTGCTGGGGAGACTTCAATCACGAGCCAGTTCAGTTGCTAGGGCTAACCTATCCTCAACCGCCCCGCTGGCCTTCCCATCACTAATTGTTGAGCCTCCAGCTGGACAATGGATGTAGGAGAACTAATTAAGCCTGGGTGCTCTGAAAAGCTGTCGGGGTGGGGGCGTTGTTTTTCCGCAAACCTGTTTTGTGGGCCGCTTAGTGAAGACTGAGCACAAAAGCGCCCAAAATCTGCCATAATTTCATCAAACAGTACTCTCACGCCTCATGGGTAGACCATTGTCCCGCAAAACAATCCAGAGACTAGAAATGGTAATATTTTGCAAACTCACAAATGAGCTTCAATTACATCAAGTGAACACGCTTAATATATCCAGTCATTAGCAAGCCGTAATGACATTTCAGGCTGAAGTGAGCCTCGGCAAATCATATTAGAGATTAGGTAATAGAATTATATGTTGTTTGATGATTATGTTCCATTAGAGATATCATACAGCCACACCCACTTCATTAAAAAGGCGATAAAGTACTACTCAAGGCCTAATGCTAATTCAATGAGAAGTGTCAAATAAAGAATCATTACATTGTAAATGTCAACATGTAATTGATACCCACTTTGTTTAAAAGTATTAGCTATTGAAAAACTGGAGTGTAGTACACAAATACTGTAAGTAGATTTTGTAATACAGTTGGTCCATTGAATTCAGGGCATAAACACTACAGCAGCAAATCAAACACTGAGGTTGAACTAAAGGTGACAGAAAATCCAACTGTCTAGTGTTATGAAAGCTAGAAAACATTCAGTGTCATCCTATTCCATTCTGAACTTTTCATGAAGTTCCCGGTATTTCTCTAAATAAATAAACACACAGTTCAACAACAATCTATCCCTGAGTCCTGAATAAAAACTGAATGTAGTGATAATGGGACGAATTATTCAATTTTGCAGTGGGAATCAGGACTGAAATAAAACAACACAAACACACACACACACACACACACACACACACACAGGTTTAAAACTATATCTTTGTGGGAACTCTCCATTCATTTATATTGGGAAAACTCTAATCCCAACAACACACCCTTAACCTCTACCCAGTACTAACCTTAACCAAACAACATACGAGAATTTTAGTTTTGTGATTGTATTCACGGATCTTTGTGGGGACCTGAAATATGGTCCCCTCAACGTCAAAGTAACAGGTTTTCATTACATTGTGGGGAACATTTGGTCCCCACAATGTAATATACACATAATACACATACACACTCACACACACATACACACTCACACACACATAGTTTTAAGATAAACCAGTTGAAGCAGAGTTATATATCCTATTCACTTGATTTGACAAAGTGAGTAAAACTTTGCATATCCCTTAACACTACAGTATTGATGGTAATGATCAATACATTGTGTAATATTTCTAGTAATGTTGCTTTATTGTCAATACTAGCCACTGCTTCACTGATGCTTTTTTTAAATGACAGGAGCTAACATCGGACTGAATTATATCCAATCATTTAGTATATTAGAAAAGCCAACCACATACTAAGCCCAAGCTATAACTACAGTAAGCAATTACATAAAATAAAGCAGGCAGCTTTTATTTCAGCATAGAAAATTATTTTAAAGGTAGCTCTCCAGAGACACTTATGACCACTTCTATGGTCTACTACTGCTTCTTTTAAAGTGGCAATATCTCTTTTCTCCATGCACAGCTGCTTGTAAAGTGTCCATGAAAAGGGGTTTTGTTCCAGCAGTTTGTCAGTCCATTTTACTCAAAAGTAGCTACACAAACATTATTTGAAAGAAAATGTTTGTGATACCTTGAGATACTCTAATAGGTGAACAGTTAATTACAGATTATACTGTAACTGATTCTCACATCAAGGTATAAAACTCAAAACACTACAATTTACATATTCTAATAAGTATTTAGATTACTTCAGAAAAATCAATCGGGATAACAATATCTATTTGCACTGAGAACTAATGCTAATGACATACACTTAGTGGCCTGATTATTAGGTACATCTACTTGTAAATGCAAACAGTGAATTATGGGGCTGTAACCAAAGACATACTGTACACAGAGAGGGTCAAGACGTTCAGTTACTGTTTTGCTAAGCATTATAATGGGTAAGATGCCTGATCTAAGCAATTTTGAATGCAGTGAGATTGTTGGTGCCACATACAACCACCTTCCTGGGATTTTCACACATTACAATGTCTAGAGTTTACAGAGGATTGTATTATGGACCAAGTCAATTATATGTCTATGGCTGAAAACATCTTAATGAAAGAGGTAAGAGGAGAATGGGCACACGCTTTAAAAATAAACGGGGCCAAAAAATAGCAGCAGCATGCAGAATTCTTTCTTTGAATGGACAACTCATCTACCTCAAAGTGGTTCTGAAGGCAAAAGTGGTTCCTTCTTGCTATCAGATAAGGGTTCCTAATACAGTGGCAACTAACTGTATATGATGATAAAATATAAAAATCCACCCATCTGCCCACCTTCAAACACCTTCTAGAGCTGACGGACATGGTGTATTATGTGATAATAATAATGATAAAGCACACACCAACCTAAGTGACGTACCTTAAGCTCTCTGAAGAAGATGCTGCTCCTCGCCCACTCAACGATGGAAAACAGGGTCTGGTCTGCCATCTTACACATGAGCCCAAAGGTATTGAGTTTCTCGTGCTTGCCACGGCTGGCCTGCTCCTGCTGCAGGTAGGCCAAGATCTTGGCCTGAACCTGGGGCTCATCTGGTTCACACTTCAGGAGCTCCACGATAAGGTGGGGAAAGCTGGGTGGGGAGCTACTCTGGTAGGTGTCCATGTAGGGGTAGCCCATGAGGGACTCAGGGGAGCTGGTGTATGGGTCAGGGTACTCGGACTTGATGGTGCGGCTCTGGAAGTGGCTGTAAGCCTGGTAGCCCTGAAGGCTGCCGTGGGGAGGCATAGCCATGCTGATGGGGGAGGTGACGAAGGGGCTGCGGTCATAGTCTGTGGGGGGCAAGGCAGCATGGCTTAGAGGTAGGCCCTTGGAGGCAGAGTGGATGTTCTGGATGGCCGAAGATATGGTCAGGTCCGTTGGCACAGTCTGCATCACCTGAGTCATGGCTTCGATTTTCAGCCCATTTGCTCGAATCAGCGCCTTCTTCTGCTGCTTCAGGGCCCGGTCCCGCTTGTACATTGGGCCGAACTTGTTCCGTCCCCCTCGCATGCGGTCTGCCCTTACGGCTGATGTAGAATCAAACAGAAAAAAGAACTAAATGAATTTCAATGAAATGCATCAAACTCCCATGTTGGTGTCTTTGAGGTGTCTTGATCGTAGTCCACACCAAATATCCCACCTCTCCCGGAAGTTCCGGGGGTCTCCTACAAACTCACAGAAGCTCTGTGACACCTGCGAAAAATCCAGTACCTCGGAAATCTGTCCATAAAGAATCAAAAATGATTGTCTGCCTAACCAGACAATCGCCACCACTACCCCCAACCCCGTTCAACAACTTTTAACGTAGCCACCCCCGGTTGACAAATTTCACAGCCAGCACCCCCCTACCGCCTCACCCACCTCCCTGAAATCAATATGCCTAAGGTGGGATGTCTGCTACAACCTATACAGAAACACTAATTACATCTTTGCTTATTTTACACCCTAAAAGGCCACATGACAGGAAACAAGAAGAGTGTGTTATTCATTGCTGGGCACCCCAAACACCATTCTATAAAAGGTGTTCATGCAGTAGCCCTGGCTGACTCAAACACCCCCACACCCTCCACAACAGCTGAACAATGCCAATTATATTCTTTGGACCCCTGCCCCCCTTCAAAGACATGGGTAACATAGTTCAGAACCTTAGTCTGCTGGGTAGAGCACAACCCAGCCGGGGGAGAGCACAATTACTCACTAAGCAGGCAACGTTTCCTTTCCTTAAGTTTCTTTTTAAATAGCACGATTAAGTCCTGTTATGAATTTAACGATATCGGTGGAAATTATAATTTGCTTACCAATTAATCTTCCTGTAATGTAACGCGCAAATCACAGAAAGAAGATATACACAAGTCAAAGTTTCATAGAGGAAGCATACGTAATGGGCAAAAGATAAAACAGCAGAATAACTAAAACGAGGTAACGGGATCTAATTCAGGTATACATTCATGTGTATAATCAATTTTAATAGCATCTCGCAAAGGACCGCATTTGACCCACACGTATAAATAGGGCTTTTGGTTTCTTTGTGTCGAGGGTTTATGTTAATTATTTACTCTTAATTATTTCTGTTTTATGCCGCCGGTGAAGTCGATAGGCGCTGCGGTTGTGGGCAGCACTGCTGGGCGAGGGCGACCGGCCGTTCGAGCTGCTGGATGGAGTCGGGGAGACCACTAATGGAGCGTAACACATCCGCATGAATAATAATAATAATAATAATAATAATAATAATAATAATCAGATTCGGTGGTCTCTGTCACAGACATACAGATCTGAGGGGACTTGACGGGGTCCCTCTCGGCTCTCGCGCTGGGGCGTTAAGGCGGGAAACCTTTGACAGCCGCGGCAAACTAGTACGAGCTTTGCGCCGGAGGTGATGCTCCGAGCTTTCATTTTATCTACGAGACAAGTGTCGGTGTAAAAAATTGATCAGAAAAACGCGTGAATCCATTATACATTATCGCAGGATTTTAACTATTAATGCTTCCAAGCAACATGATAATTAATGAGCTGAAAACGAGTAGCTGGCTCTTTTGGGAAAACACAATTAGTACAGAAGCTGAATGTCAAATGAGGCTTCCGCATTTTGTAACTTTTTTGTTTCTAATTAAGATTATTTACATGCGCGACATACAAATTTGTCTGCAGCCACGGAACTAGAAAATAAATCTATCATTTGTGCCCATCTTAAATTCAGAACAACGACAAAATGCTAGTCCTTCATTGAACACATTATACCCGTAATATATAATTCTGTGGTAAATTCATTTTATCGGCAGTGATCTTCACCCGGTACTGAAATGTAATATGGTGTATATCTAGAAATACGTACTGTATGCTCAACCACTAAGCACACTTATATATGTGAAAAAATGATTGCAGGCCTATCTCTCTGAACTGCATAGGAAACCGTCAAACAATCACAAGTCAACTTGGCATAAATTAACTTAAAACGACTAACAGATAATTTAGCTACCACAATAGAATCATGATACATCTTTATGTACGTTAAAAACACTTAACTGACCTTCCAGTGGTCTAGTTTATTAATTTCTCAAGCATCGTTAATGTATTTACAGTATTAGCAAGTGCAACATAAGTTATATATACATATAAGTTATATAGGTTTATATCATCTGCTCAATGACAATAATGCTTGCATTAGAATACAGTTAAAAGACTTATGGATAAGTAATTATTTTATTAATAATCATAATATTAATATATTAAATCAATGAGTAACTAACCCATGTCATTAAAACACATTACAGAATAAACAAACATAAATACATTGCAATTAATGAACACCTACTCAATTCTGTTTTCAGTTTACAGATGCAAACTGCCATTCTTACACATTTAGCTGTAACACATGTGAAGCCGTCACAAAAATGCCTTCACAGATATTCTGTCTGTGGCCTATTAATTACTGGCATTTCCACAAAAAATACTTCTCTAACTAGTCACTAAAAAATACTACCTTATGTCGATATCCCACGGCTAGCACTTTAACACAAAAGTTCATGGTATTCCAGTCAGCCATGCACCGCTGAAGTCAAACCCTTAAGCTCATGATGACTTTATAAGAATTGTTTCGGGCTGCTATGTTACACAATGACTGACAACACTGACTCATAACCTGAACAGTTGCAACCAAAGGGCCAGCAGTAGCCCAGCTGTTACATGTGTCTAATCTGAATTGCTTCAGTAAAAACAGCTGTCACTAGGGTAACAATAATATAAAAGTTATAAGTCGTGCATGTCACTTTGGATTGAAGGGTCTACTGACATGGTAACGGTCCATCCGTGACTGCAGAAGTTTTCACAATGGTGGAGATCATGTTCCTCAACTCTGGGATGGCCTAGCAGGAAGGCTTCCCTTCATCAAGCTATTTGAGGGGATATTCTGCCACAGGAGGGGGGGGAGGGCATGCTTACCTTCCAGCTTCATGCCAACACTGAGGCACTTCTGGAAGCGGCAGTAAGGGCACCGCTTCCTCTGTGTCTTGTCGATCTGACAGCTCTGGTTCTCTATGCATGTGTACCTCTTATTGTTCTGAACTGTTCGCTTGAAGAAACCCTGTGTGGGGAAGATGACAGAGGCAGAAGTGTCAGCTTCGCCGCCCTGGTGGCTCATCGAGTGTAGCGTGCGCACAAGTCAAACGTGACCGCACACATTGGAAGTAAAACTTGTCAGAAAAATGTGGTATTAATACAGCGTAACTGTCACAGCCGTGAATGACAAAGCCATTCAAATATATCGTGTATAACCAAATTACTGCAATTCACATTTGTCATGGACTGACTGTGGGTCTCCAAGTGCAGATTCAGAATAGAGGTCTTGTAGCAGGTTATCCCCATGATGAGCTGTACTTGGAAATGAAAAATGGAACCTGAAGCACAGTTTGGCTTAGGGCTGGTTACACATTTATACTGCACTGCAGAACTGTGTAATAGCATGTCTGTCCTGTGTCATATTAAACATGCTGAGCAACTATATCAGTAATAATATAATACTTATGAAACATTTTAAGTTTCCTGTAAGGGTAGAGCACAAATTGGGTGCATTTCTGCTTTAATCGTTACATTTCTATAGTAAATGTATGTATAATATTTTGAGAAAAGCATCTCATTTGCATTAAATGTTCTCTATTGAAATTACAGTGCATACTCAATTCAAATAAAAGATATAAAAGCATAACTTATAGGTTTTAGGGCAGCTGCTGGATCTTCTAGCAACAACACATTCCTGATGATGTGCATATAAACAGTGATGTTCATGCTTATTCAGACTTATGAACAGAATTACGCCTTATTCAACCTGACCACTACATCTTTCATGATTTATATATACAAATATATATCTCATGAGATCATATGTGAAAATCACAAAAATTATACACATAATTGCTGGGGATACAGGCCTTTGCTACTGAGCTGAATTCATTTAATCACCTGGAGTTGATAAAGATCAAATAAATTCTGTTTTTCAAGATGTATATTATCAGGAGAATCATTAAGCCTGGCTAATATAAAATAAGCAGTGACGATTCTAGACACTTCAATGGAGGGGGGCCAGGCTGGGGCCAGTTGTTCTGTTTGCGGTGCCAGATGCATTTGACCTCAATGTCCTCCAAGATTTACTTACACTAGATTGCCAGCATTAAGAAGCAAAAGACGATTTTGAAAACCAGTGTTATTTATACAGTGCTTTGCAGTTTAATTTAGCAGTTTTTACAAATATGCAACTCACTCTGATTTCTTGTTTAGACTGTCTTGCTTCCACAAGTTTTATTTTTTTTTTCTGTCGTTACTTTGCTTTCCACCAACTGAAGCGACTCGACCACCCAGAGCACTTGCGTTGAGTCCGTCATGAAAATGTGCTTGTTTGTTTTGCCTGTTCCCAGTGCACAAAATTTTAGCCCACATATATAAATGTAATAATAATAATAATGATAATGATAATAATAGACCCATGTAGCATACATATTTAGAGGGGCCAACGGGGGGGGGGCATGCATATTATCATGGGGGCACTGCCCCCCCCCTCACCCTGAGCCGCCCATGAAAATAAAGCTTCTGATATTTTGAAATTGCAAATTGTTTTACTGCAGGTATATGCCTTTTCTCTCCCTCTTTTTAAAGTACATGACCATATAACTCAGAGATAAAACAAGACTAAATTAAATCCAAATTCCATTGTAAAATGTAAAAGGAGGGAAAACTTATCTGAAGATTTTACGTCGCTGTCACTTGAAGTTATTAAACACAAATTAAAGTATTTTACACGTTTTAATAAAATTGGTCTCACAATAAAGTAGAAACAGAACAAAAATTTAAAATCGTAAAATTCTTAAAATAACACAAAAATATTTTTTTCACTGCAGTGTATTGGACACCTTCCCTATTGAAATACACGCTCTATACCAGAAATGGCAAACTGGGCTGTACTGGACGTTAATTTGTTAGAATGTCCACGATAAAAACTTTTTGGTTTTTTTATGCTGAGCACAATGAAAAGCTAACATGTCACAAATGAAACAGCATCACCGAGACACTTGGAGCAGAAACAGGTGAAGTTAACTGGCCATAATTGCAAAATCCCTATAGTAGCAGGACAAAACTGTGCTATTTCAGGTTTATTTGCTGAGCAAATGCCCACTGCCCATTTTATATATGCATTTATTCCATATCTTTTTTAGCTGTTCATTATTAACTGAAATGAGGTGAATTACCATAAGCAAAGCCACTAATTTCCCACTTCAGGATCACAGGTGACATACTGCATTGGTGAATCCTATGCAAAATCCATCCATCCATTTTTTTGTAACTCCTTGTCCTATTGTAGGTTGTGGAGGGGTCTGGAGCCTATCCCAGAGGTTATGAGAGCAAGGAAGGGAACAACTCAGGATGGGCACAAGGCATATTTGCACACCACTGTCTCTCTCTCTCTCTCACTCACACACACACACACACACACACACACACACAGGCAATTTGGTAACTCCAATTAACACACACACTCCAGCATGTTTTTGGACTGATGGGGGGGGGGGTATGCAAACTCCAGACACATGGAGTCATGGTGGAGACTGGAAAGCTGGTCCCAGATGTGCAACATTGCTAACCACTGCGCCGCCATGCTGCCCCCTTTCAAAACAAAAGCATTTTGAGATTATAATTTTTTTAGCAAATTTGTTATGGATTAACAATAATTATTATTCCGATTTGAATTATGATGATTATTGGGAGTTAAGAACTGTATCAATAAATAACAAATAAATAAGCAATTTGAAAGTAATGATTATTACATCTAAGCTTAATCCCCATAACTAGTGATTTCTGCTATTTTTAAGGTATATGCTTTTGGAAGTCTGCACACATTCATTCCTTTCCAAGAATCGCTTACCCCGTTTCGGTCACAGTGATTCATACCCTAGTCCTGGGAGCAGGGGCTAAACGTGATAATAAATATAAACGTGGATAAACGTGGAACAAGACACCGTCACAGATCACACACATGCATGCACAGTCCCGCACACAGTCACACGTAAGGGACAGTATCAAGACACCAATTATACCCACAACGCTGAAACTGGAATATGGAAGCAAAACCCACACAAACACAGCGGGAACATGCATGCTGTACAAATTTGTATAATAATATTTAAGAAGCATCCTTATTAATTGCTTGACATTTTTTCTATGTAAAACTCTATGCACTTTTTGTGTTGGGAATCCTGTGGAGGACAATATAGGACATGGAGATGGAGAATGACATGGAAACTATAGCAGACGGTAAGTCGCAGATGGCCGACGCACCTTGCAGCTCTCACACGTCAACAGGCCGTAGTGGTACCCGGACACCTTGTCTCCGCAAACTGGGCACATCTCGTCCAAGTCTTCGTCATAGGAGTAGTCCATCATTTTAAACTGGGGGGCTGGAAAGCGGCATGTGTGGGTTAGCCAGCAAACACACAGCACCTTTGTTTTTTATAGCTAGATTTTGGTGATGAACAAAACTGCCCTGACTGATTTCAAACTGAAAACACACAGTGGTACCCATGTGACAAAACAGATTAGAGCGCGGCTTCCTGACATCTCACATTTGAGATTGCCCTGTGCGTATCAGTGTGTTAAACACCCGGAAAGCTATCTGTAATGCTGCAGGCACAAATACATTAATGGCATTTACACAATTGCTAAATAAAACGTCATTGTCTAAAGAACTCGTTTACTTTTTCATTTGTGCTGTAATTTACTTTTCTAACTTTCAGAGAGACAAAAAATTGTGCATCATTAGTAAATAAATTTCCAAACAACAGTGCCCTATGACATCATTCACAGGTATATTTTTTTACTTTTATCATATTTTATTTTATTTATTTTTATTTCAGATGTAACACATAATAGACCACATCATAAAAAATATCTTTAAGTGATAAATGTAATAAATGGACCATATCTCCCTCGCAAAACGCAGCAATTATTATAATAACCAATCTGATAAAAAGAAATTACATATACTACATATTAGGATACAAATTGATCTCAGGAAAAAATGTATTTTCTGATTGAAGTTACTCGATGCACTTTGCAGTCTATATATTTATATACCCCAATAAATATGTTATATAAGATATTCAACAAGTACTCTCACGTTCATGGATATTAATTCCAAACGTGGGTTAACATTTAGTGAAACGACCATTACCCATTTCGAAATCGAAATGCATCTAGTTATACCTCTAGAGTCATAATTTTATAAGATATGATATTGTATATACCATTCTGACTTTAACATTCACGTATACCCGTGTATCACGTAATAGCCTACGTGAAGTACAGGAAAGGGAAACAAGACAGATGTCTACCTGAACCTGCAATTCAAAAAGTTTTCATAGATCCATGCAAATGCTTTCATCCATCCTCTCATTTTCAATCACTACCTACATCCTCAGGATCTCACAGAGCACGTTGCGTAAGACAACCTGCTTGTATCCAAAACGACATCGCGGATGATAATTTAAATGTTTCACAAATAAATTTTGAGCAGGACATATTTATTAACAAGAGAAAATCAACACCAGAACAAAAAGAAGCAGATATTTGGACAACTTCAAAGAAATTATAGTTAGGTCTATATTTCCCAATATAGGTGCCGATTTTTATTCATCATAATAGACGCACGTTATTCCATAATTTTGCTCGCTTTGTCCTCAGAGTTTGGCAGAGTGTTTTGAAAATAGAAGACAGATACAATTAAATGAGCACTATAAAAATATGTCACGTATTTACGTTAAAAAATATTTTATTTTCCTCAACATTTTATTATTTCTTCAAACATATATAAAGAAAAAAAGGACCACTAAACAAAGACAGCTTCAAAAATAAACAAAAAAAGAGGTGAAACACGTTTTGTTTTCAATAGTCCTTTTAATTTATGGTTCCACATACATTGATGGTTACATTTCCTCTTACGATTTATTTGTAAAAAATAAAGAGATCGATCGAAAGACATAAAATTTAAATCTGTCGACAAATGCTTAAATTCATATAGGCCTACGATAAAACATATGTGTGATCAAGTTATTCAATGAAAAAAAAATCGAAGACCTCTATAAATATAACAAAAGTTTAATAAAGTAAACCCTTAAAACGAAATAATACATTATAGTTAACAAGACATCTCCTGATAAAATCATATTATAGTTTTCCAGGAATTCTACACTAACTTTCCCTGGAGCGTTCCCTCGACAAATGATTTTTAAAGCACTATTTTAGTCATAAATCACACAGAATCTCAAATTAAGTAGCTCAGCAGGAAAATGAATTTTTTAATTATAAACGTAATTCTAACACCTTAATCAGACAATTAAAAAAGGCCGTTACTTTATATATGTATTTTATCTTAGATAATATGAGATAATATAACAGATGATTATCATACAACTGTGAGTGAATATGTAGATAGATATATATTCAATCGCAGCTATGAATTAATGATTTGCCTGCGTATGAAAACTACAACAAAAAGAGAAAGGTAAACTATCAAAAATCAAGTGAAATAAATTCATAAATTACGCAGTTCACTTTTTAAGTAGGCTATAGCTTAATATAAGGTACGCGTTGAGGTGTTACATAGGCATACAGTAAGAATTATTTTTATCTTCTTGGCAATGAATGACACTTAACTCTTGTCTCTTGTGTATTACTATGAGACCACAAGAGAATTGTGCGTTATTAATTATTAGGGCTCAAAACACTAGATAGGTAGTATAAATAAACTACTCCAAAGCTCCAAATCACTGCTATATTCTTTCCTCATAATTGCGCCCAGACGATATTGTGCTAGAAGAGAAATCATTTATTCTTTTCCTACCTTGCATGTTTCCTGGCATGAGCCCCTGTTCCCCATGCGATCGAGCGAGTCCCAGTGATTCCGTCTCGACTTTGGGCAGCATGTCAGCGCTGCGAAGTTCAGGCGGAGTTTCGGCTCCGTCCGGCGAGCCACCTGGATGCCAGAGGAACACCCAGACTCTCACCTTACGGGAGTTTACTTCAAATTCCGTGTAGGACTTAACTTCGCGAATGTCGAATTTTTTAAAAAGCTATAAAACCGACCGTTTGTGTAACGCAAGGTCCGAAATAAAAATTCTTCTTCCAAAGTGGTCTTGCGAAGGTCATAATTATAAACGCAAACAAGCAAACTAAAAGGAATAAAACTGCGCGTTTATTTAACGGTTTAAATATTAAAGCATCGGTCTACTGTGGCATCGAGGGTCAAGCGCTCATACCAGCTCTGCGGAGGTTTCAGCGCCTGTCTGAGCGCCAGGTGTCCCCTCGCTACTGCTGACATTGATATCTAAAGTTAGCGGACTGTTAGTAACTTTGAGATTGCAAGGGGGAATAACATCCACGCCTGCAGACCGCGGACGCCGAGCGGCTCTGCGGATGATGTGCTGGGATCTGAAGTTGTAACCTTCCTCTCCGCCTTGTTTACTCCTCGCCGGCGCTCTTCTCGCCAATCAGGCTTCCTTGCGGCGGTCTGACATCACGGTCCTTCGCCAATCGTCTCTGTCCTATACAGTCTGTTGTTTTTTGCAAATCACAGCTGTGCGGTTCGTATAATAATGGACTTTCTGACTAAGAGGAGGAAACAAATACGGCGTGCGGAAAAATAGAAACCAAGCCTGCTCGGTGGTTGTAAAAGTGAACCAGACTCAAGCGCAGGGCAAGGTTTGACATGCCTGTTTTCTTCAACCAGACCGCTAGGAATGTTACTTTTTTTCTCTACGCGATACCTAATTGCTTAATGCTAATAATTAAGAACAAGATACCTCTCTTTAAAAAGCATAGGTGCCTTGCTTTATACACATATATCTTTGACTTTAGCTCCAAGCTGAACCACTAATAAAATGCATGCCCGTGGGTGACTGCTAAATTTCTATTTTAACTTTTACCCACACAAGGGTAATGAACACTTGCGATTAACACGCTAGTTTACGCAGCAAGAATGAAACGAATCTTCGTGAAGATAACCACTATAGGGCCGTCCTACAACTTAATAATATAAATCAACATGAATACTGTCGTTATATTATACAGCTTTATTCCATCTAGATACATATTTAAAAAGTGCTTAAAATTAAATAACGTGCTGTTCTGCACTATGATGATGATTATGATAGCCGGAATAATCTTACAGATAATATATATATATATATATATATATATATATATATATATACTGTTAAAAATATTTAGCTGATATTTTTTTTTATCCAGACATATATTGTAATTGAGGAAAAACAATATAATCTCCCCCAAACCGGGGAACTAGGCCTACATCTTTTCGTTGTCGCCAAACTTCTCATTCCTCAGCTTCTGTTGTGCGCTGAAGAGGAAGGACACGCGCTCACATTTTTTAATACTTCTTTTATTTATTTTTAACGTCTTTTTGACATTTTTTTTTCTAAGTTCTGTTGAGGCATTTTTGCAGATCCGCATTTCACAATGAAACTGGAAACTTATAGGAGCGATTACCCCTGGGCACCGCGGCAAATGGAAATTATGCTCCGCGCAACCAGTGGACGGTCTTGGATCGAAACACCTGATGAATCCCGCCGATAATTTGAGATGCAATAGGACGCGCGTGCACTTACTGTACATAAAGACTAACGCTTATGCGTATCAGTGAGTGATATTTAAATGAAATACATTGTATAATCTTCCAAAATATCTTTTATTACAAGATAATTTATCTTACATTTATACAAAGTTATAGACAGAAGGAAGTTTTTACAGTTGCATAAATTGAGATACTTCTGGAACATTTTCATGTAAGATATTCTGTAAACTATTTTAATGGTCATTTGTATATTTTCTTATTAAAACTACGGCAATGAATGCAAGGTTATTGAAAGAGAGTGTATGGATAATTTTTGGTATACCTTAATTAAAATCTCTCTAATATATAAAACTATAAAAACAATTTGTAATTTATATAAATCTGGAAATAAAATGCATTTTGATTACTGCCTCTTGCCAGATCTTAATAATTAATTACTGAACAAATAACTACTAATAATATGAATAATAATATTTTATTATACATATTATTATCAATAATAATATTTTCTAAATATTATATAGCCCATATATATATAGGCTATATATATGCACACACACACACACACCTTGAGATCGTTTTTAAATATCACATTTAATAAATCGTTCATTAATGACATTTGTAACCGTACGGTAAAACAGAAAACACGTTAATCCAAGGCAATATAATTATTAAACACAGTAGATGGCTTCTCAGTTTTAAGGTGAAACTAACCGTTTTTCTATGTAGTAAAGGTTTGTCCTTTAAATCAATATAAAATATGTTCGGATGCTACTTATTGTCTATATTCCTCCAATGCGGACTCGCATATAATGACAGCTCATCCTCGCAAGCGCAAGCAAATGTATAAGTAAAACGATTTAAAATATATATTAGCGGGTATCCTATTTATATTTATGTCTAAATCGATTTTTCTGTTCCGGCAATCTATTATCAAAGTACAGGAGTATTCGCCGACAAACGGGGAACCGCTTAAAAGTGAGACATGGTAGATTCGCAGGCGCCTTATAAGCATCATTGCTAATAGAGAGCTTTGCTGGACTTGAAGACATCCGCGACGGAGACGAGTTGTTCAGATGGACGCCACATTTATCCTTTTACGCGCATCTCAAAGTTATGACGCCGTATTGCGTAATGGTCAAGTTGATAAAACAAGAACTTAATATTCTGCTCTTTTGTTAGCTACCTTCATAGTTCCTGGATCATTCAGCCAGTGTATAATTACAAATCAAGTTTTGGGCTTCTAATTATTAAAGCAAAGAATGTTTCCATGAGGTGTCCAGTACGTTTGATCTTCTTCTGTGATATATGAGATATTAGTGTCATTTGAAACAAGTACAGGGCATTTTACTCATTCAGCTCAGAATACAGTGGCATCGACTCACCAGATCCTTTAGTGGGTTCTTGTGCAATAATAGGTGCGGGGTTCGAAGACATAGTCAAGTATCAGGCATTGTATGAAACATTCTGTAAGACTAATGTATGTGAAGTTATTACGTTTACATATTGGATGAAGCAGAGATTTTGGAATAAAATAAAGAGAGAGAGAGAGAAACCATCCCCTAGCTTAAAAAACAACCCAGAGGACTAATCTCCCCTCCCCCACCCCTTAACATACTCCCCCCAAATAATGACCTGTTTTAAACCTGTGTGTCTATCTCATAGGTACTAATCAACAGTATTCAAAATCCTCCTTCTGGATTGGCCGGTCTTGGCCACATGGCCCAGGACAGGTTGATAGCACCTGTCATAAACTGACACAGCGACAGATAAGAATTGCTGGCAAATAGGGCTGCAGGAATTATTAACTAGCAGCAAGAGACGCTGGGGGAATTGCTCCACAGGCCGCAGAGTGTGCAGTGGGGAAGGTGGTAAGCAGAGGTCAAAAGACCGCTCAGGGGATCCACACTTGCATACTTTGAACTCGTGCCTCTGGACTTCAGAGACTTATGCTCTTATGTGTGCAACATGCTCCAGTCTAAGCAAACATAATCACCTGTTATTTTCAGTAGGACTGAATGTCTTATAAATAATATGGTGAATTTTATAGTTTCAAGAATGAAGATTTTTTTTTGTATGTTTTTTTTCTGAAAACCTGTTAATTTTAGTGATCAGCTTGTTAAATGGTTCTGTGTTTAACTGACACTGTGATTATTGTGTTTTGCAAACCCAAACCGAAGCTCAGCTTACAGATTTTCTGCCAGAAAAGCTAAAGGTTGTGTTTCTTTCCTATAGTAGTTTTGGCATAAAGTAAAACATTTCAATGACACTTTGCTCCTAAATTAGAGAATTTGACACATTCCAGTGTGAAGTTATCCAATGTTGAGAAACATAAGTCTCTCTAGGGATTTCCTTTGCCTGTTTTCATTGTTTTTGGCAGAAAACATGACACACTTTCACAATATTAGCCAATTTCATAGATCCCAGTGACCAGATGCTATAATGAATGGAAATTAAACTGGGCTGCACATTCCATGGGTATCTTCATTGTTTTGCAAAAAGGATTGCTGGCCTTATTCACCAACGTTCTTGAGGTAAGCAGCATCTAATGCATCTTTTCAGATATTCAGTATAAGAAAAGAAATAATAAGAAAAGAAATTCTATAATAAACTGCCCAATTTGGAGAACAGTGGCCACAGATCTGGCTGCCGCCCAAAACTATGGAATAACTGTGACACAGACACCCACACACCCCCCAACACTACATTCAGGCTTATGTAAATTAATTCTCTCCTTCTTGGCATCACAGAACTTTATAGCAGTGGCCAGAGCTACTGTACCTATCAGGGCAAAATGCTCAAGAGAGAAATGAGGACTCATTAAAGAAGAATATTTCGGTTCAAAGTTTACCCGGCTCTGAAGGTGTTTGTCTACGGTTATAAACATCATGAACAACAAAAAACAAAAGCATATCAGCATTACATACAGACAACTTTTCCTGGCTTCCAATCTGTATTTAGATTCTGTAACTTCATTGTAGGCTATGGATTATAAAACTAAAAACAAATGTATTATGCAAAACAAAGTCAGAAACAGTCACACAAAACACCACAAGGCAAGACAGCAATGGCAGAGTGAAAGGACTATGGTACATTTGCTGATGTTCTAACATCAAGCACTGAAAATGCTCCCCATTAGTTAATAAGATAAGGAACTAAAAGGATTTGTCATCCCCCCAACTTTAGGCCATAACCCAGGATAATCTTTTCCCTAAGATAGCTAGTTGAATTAGGGAATAGAATTTATCAAATAAAAATTAAATTTTTTAATTCATCCTGCACAAAGTTAGTTTTTCTAAGTAGCTCTATATGTGTTCATTTTTATTTTATTTTAAATGTGCATTATTGCATCCTTTGAATATAGATACATCCAGAAAATCTGTCTCTTGGAAGCCAGTATTTCAGGATTTGAGTGTTGATATACACATGAATACTTTTCTCACAAACAGCATTACATTATAGAGCTAGGGCATACCTATATGGCTTGGGGAATTGGGGCAATGTAGATATGACAAGACACCCCTAGTCGGGAATGTCTGCCATGTTAGCTACAGAGACGGTCATATGTTAATATCTAGACATAACTATGAGACGAAACAATCACCATGTGAGTCGTTCCTAATTTACGAGCATGACACTGATCAGCCGACGTGTCTGGCAAGCGCAAATAATGTGTCTCTAGCTAGTGTATCCTTCAGTACGGTTTGCTTTCTGCATGTGCATTCTGACTTTACGTAAACGGGAAAGAAGGACAACGCAACTGTTATGTCCATTAGTGGGTCAGGCGATAGTCATTGTTCATTGCTTCCTATATGGTGCTATTTTTGACAGGTCTAGGGAACCGCGTTTGGTTGTGGGCGTCAGAAGAGCGGCATGAGCCCAAACAATCACTGCCAAGACAAAACACAGCCGGCATTAAACGGTTCATGTTCTGTCTTATCAGGATCTAACAGTCATTGTCTTCACTAAGACATGGGAAATTTGCGTTTACAAGTTCTAGATTAGTCCCACAGGCCTGCTGTGGCTGACATTAGTGATAGTTTTGTCACATGCACAAAAGACAAATGAAAATATGAAAACAGATGTATCAAGAATGTCAATGCAGTGTGATACATTGTGTTGTGCGCATATCAAAAAAAGAAACTGGTTTAAATGTGTCCGTTCTTGTTGCTCCGGATAAGGATAAAGATAACAGATAAGGAAACAATTAATCAGGTGAAATATCTGTTTCAGGTGTATGTTATCCTAGAGCAAAGTCTAGTGAAGATCAAGTGGACAGACTTATCAACAAGCGGAGTATTCCACTCTGATAATTTTGTTGTTCTTCAGAGATGTTTGCAATCTGCTACATTTCGGTCTATTTAAACAATGATATGTCTGTAAACAGTTGATTGAGAACTTATGACAAGAATTCAAAGAAAAGTAAATTGCAGCCTTTTGCTAATATTGGAAAATGTGAAAGCGCATGACCACTGGTGTGGGGGCCATGTTACTAAGTGGTAAACAATTATGAAATTCTTTAATACCTTAATTGAATGTTTTCTGCACTATGTATCTGCAGAGACAGGGACCCTTTAAAGCAAAGGCTTGAAGAGACTGGGTAATGCATTGAGTTTGCCGGACCTCCGTCTGACCTCGGGATTCATGATATTGATAGGTAGGCACTGTGCATTTGCACCAATGTCCTGTTTTCCTAATGCAGAAGCACCCAATGGAGCAGAAATGAGACAGCCAGACTCAATGAGCTATGAGAGTTTTATTTCACCCAATCCTAACAGAAGTGTAATAAACCGTGATGGCAATGGCATCCTGACACTTGCATAACCCCCTTAGACCGATAACAAGGTCATTAAAGCTGGTTCACATCAAGTCTTTTCACAAAACAGAACTCTGAAAAATTCATGGAATGAAATATTTGTGGCAAATACAGTCAGATGAAAACTACATTATAAAGACTTGAACATGATATGTAATAAAATGGCACACTGGAGCCCTCGGCTTTGAAAAAGAAGGGTACCCTTTAATCCCCTGAAAAGTCAAGCGATTGTGTCTTCTCAAGATAAACCCTGAATGGACAGCCAGCAGACATTGCAGAGAGCTCAAACCACTTGTGGCACTAAATACCCTGTGTTTACAGACCTGTCGGCTTTCAAGCTGGTGGCAGAATGTCCCCACAGCGACTGTGCGAATGTGCATCACCTCCTTTTGGATGCCCTTTGCCTTTTTGTGGGTGCCATTGTGACTTGAAGCAAATGCTGAGCAAATAGTTTGCCTAACCATTAACTGCTGGGTCCATTTAAATGGTAAATAGGAAAGGCGTTTATGACCTGGACATGTAAAAAACATGAAACTGCTTTACAAACGTATTTTCAAACATATTTTCTACATATAAATGTATGCTACACATTTTCCCTTATTATGTTACGGATTGTGTAGTTTAATGGTAAAGCTAGCAAAGTGTTATTTTATAATAAGAAGCATCTTATGTTGCACAAGCACTGGGCCCTTGAGCAGCGCCCCAATGCACCATGGGTGCTGGAGAGATGGGCTGACTCTGGGTTCTGACTTCAGACCTCTCTCTCACCTGTGTGTGTGTGTCAGAGGAGAGCATGATGGGATATGCAAAAGGAAAACCTTTCTCTGTATCTGTATTCATACAAATAGCAAAAAAAAAATCCTTTCATTTTAACATTAGTCCATTTATGTTTTACAGTATACATTTTAATAGTTAATATACAGCGCTCACAGAAAGGGATGCTTACTTGATTTTGTAAAAACGCTGCAAATCCATTGGTTTCATAACAAAAGTCCATTGGCAAGCAATGTTTAACATATCTGCACATGTCTTGCACACGGACATCGACATTTTATTTTTATTTAGTGTCATTATTTTTCTGACCGACTCATTCAATTTGATTCTTCCCATTTTGCTCTTAATTGCAATTGTAGCTCCCAAAGGGAGACTAAACACAAATGTTTGGTGTTTTATGTTATTCCAAAGGTGTTACTAATTTAAATGCACCTAGTAAATCTGCTTGTCAATGAGCTTTTTTAGAAGTATAATGTGTGTTTCAGTTTATCGCTACTTGAATGTTTTACTTAAAACTACTAATTGTTTCTAATGCAATGTATTTATTTGTTGTAAATGAATAAAGTCATGGTTTTTATTATAAAACCAATATACTGGCAGTATTTTTAATTAATTAAGCAAGCCTCCCAAGAATTTCTGTGAGCGCTGTGTGCGTGCATTAGACACTTTGTCGACTGGAAGCCCATCATCAGTCTTTGTGCTAAAGCAGCTCCAGGACTGTCATCGGAGGAGATGGAACCCGATGCCCTCTCAGATGCCCTTTGAATATCCTGTGGATTATCTCTATTCCCTGTTTCTGTCTCCAACCTGATTGTCAAGGGGCGAAAGTGCCGAGAAGCTTGTCAAAAGCAACATTAGCCATAGAAACTCTCTAATCAGAAGTGCTG